TAGCGACTGAGCTTGTGAAATCATTGATTCCATGGAAGCACCTCCGTTGCACCCAATGGAAATAACTCTCTTGCCAAGCATCGGGCGCAATTCCTAGTTGCTGAATTGTGCAATTCAGCATTGTGTCGTATTTGTAATGTATCGCTTTGAATTGTTTAATTGTTTACGTCGAAGTTGCAGGTCTTCCGTGATGCTCCAATTTTCGCCACATTTCACCCACAGTGTTTGAAATTGCTTTGATGGCTGAAGGCCGAACAATTGTCCCTCATATTAAATGTCTTCAATATACAGGCTTCTTTTTATGATTATTTTGATGTCTCATTGCGCAATTTACTTCCATTATGGGGACGACTTTTGACATCTCCCACAGCGCCCCCGTGGCATATCACATTACGGTACTATTACTGATGTTGCAACAACCAAACACCAACGCATGATTTGGCCAGTATCCAAATCGAGAGTCCATAAATTAATGATTTCGGCACAGAAATTGGGGTAAATTTTGATGACCAAGAATACAGCAACAAAATCTTGCTATGACATTGACAATTTGTAGTTCATGTCGATTTCAAGAAAAGAAATAAATAACAAATTGGGCATATTCACTCACATACATGACCCCATCAAAGTACACGAGACTAGTTGAGGACCCAACACAAGAACCTATCCGAAAAAGGGTCCTTTTAACGACCTGCACGATTAGATGCAGGTTTCCATTAAAAGTTGGGAGTGTCTGTTTTATACGAATAAAAAATAATCAATTTCAAGACATAAATTGAATATAAATACAGAGGTTGAGGGGGTTTACAATTTGTCACCTAAAAGTCTTCACAAGCCACTGCTGCATATTGTCGTAAGCAGAAGTAAGAAAAATCGAAAAAATCAATGCTCATTACGTTTTTGACGGCATCGACACAAAACAATCGTTACCAGTATACATACATACATACACACGTTCATACATAGTATGCACTAAGGTATGTTTAAACTTAAACACAATGTTGAGTATTTTTATCCGACGAATATTGGCTTTTGTCCAACTAGCTTTGCCTCACACTTGATGTGTATGTTTACAAATATGCTTTGCAAGTGTTTACAAATACGTATGTATGGGTATAATACCCCATTATTTTACAAGCAAAACAAAGGATGATGCAGCAAGAGCCGATACATTCTCACCCGACACATTCATGCAGTCACCACAGCGAGGTGTAACTCATAATTGAGTTACACAATTACAAATTAAATTAGGAAACAAAAACTGTTCTGTAATTAAACGGAGTTCCGTCGGGAAAGTCGTTCTCAAGATTGGTGTAATGCATCGCGAATGTATAATCAATGTGTGATTTTCCATAAATTCTAATTCTCGGATGATGCAATCCCATTTTTCTAATTCAAATGCAGAAGAGGTTTCCTTATGCACTCCATTGCCTGACCCAAATATATAAATTGCCTAGTTTGGTTGCTTGAGTGCTGTCGATGAGCCCATGTTTGATATCGTTGGCAAGCTGGGTAAGGTACACATAAGATACATATGCTTGTGACCGCCCGCAATTAACTCTGTCAAATGTTCCCTTTATTGAACACCTCGGAATGTTTTTTATCTAGAATGTAATTCCCCAAAATATTGGAATCTTTCCATTTGATCTGTGTCAGAATCTTTGCGAAATATTCAAGCAATTCAATTCTCGTATATCTGTGTAAATGTGGCTCATGGAGCTACTACATAATCAAGCCAAAATCACGTAAATATTCCTTGTAAATATTTTCTGTCCATCTCCATCCATTCTGACCATTACACCAATCCAATGGAATGTTTCACAATGCTCCGGCCATAATTACGACTCATGGAGTGATAGACATTTTGTCAGATTGACCCAACTCGCCGGATTCAAATGGTGGGTCTTCCCCAAACAAACTCTCCACAGAGAATGCACAACGAGATAATATAATTGCACGCATGCCGGTTGTTCGGTATCTTATGCTCTGTTATGAGCATAACATCAAGTCAATATATCGGGAGTATATCGGCATTATCATTATCTTATCGACTAAGTATTAGCCCTGAACATTGAGCTCCCGATTTATTTGGTGTGCTACCATGGAGGAGAGCCACTAACACATTATTAAGGCTATTCTCCATAGATTCTTGCTCATTTGTGTTACAGCACGAAACGATCGACATATATTATTTACGTAGACTCGTTGAAATCGAAAGCGAAAGCATCAAGAAAACGATGAAGCACTCTTTCAACCATGGCAGTACACAGTATTTCAGCACAATTTCAGTCAGATGTGAATTCCTTTACTTGACCTCAACCAGACTTCTTTACATCAAAATAAATAAATTCACACGGCGTTGCACATCTGTGAAAACAAACGTTGTGTTCGGTTACAAATATTTGAACATCTGCTTCAAAGTTTTGTTTTTTCGATCCGAATTGAAACACACGATGTATATACATGTGTGCAGAAATATACATACACATGGATACATATATGTATATTCGGCAGAGTTCATTCAGCTGCGGCATTCGTGTTATTTTTGGCAAAAGGAACAAGTCCGAAACACTTTTGCCAGTGTGCATTGATTTGCTTTTGAGTTTTGAAATTGCTTTGAAATTCATGTACACAAGAGGTACGAAGCTGATCCTGGCGATAATCGCACAAATTTTTTTATAGGGAAGGATACTCCACTTTTATTGCAAGATGACGGACCAAACCGCTTAGTCCAGAGCAGTTGGCCCAGGAGTTGTTCCCTAATAGTTTCCGATGCCACAAAATAAGGACATTTGTTGACCAATGTAACGTGATAGACTGGCTATGCTGTTCTGTTGTGGTCCGTCAATGGTAACGTAACACATTTGAAGAGTGCCACTTTTGGAAACACAAAAGGGTGCCTTGTCAACGCTCTTGTTAAGGGGCGAGGGTTGTAACCCAGCTACAGATGCTATACTTGCTTTGTTGTTACAAGTACGTAGCCATCCTGATCACATCCTGGTAGATAGCTAAACCCCTTAACAGTCTAGAGGGAGATGTGCAGAAATGTAAGAGAGAGAGAGAGAGAGCTTCCAACACAACAGTCTATCCAGCAGGACTGAATGGTATTCACTCGATGGAGAGATACAGCAGAAAGAGCAGCTACCGCACAACCAAAACAACCATCAACGAGAATTCGCCCATGCCAAAAATATTAGTTTCGAATTGCGTCAAATTAAAAATGTCCAGCACGTTTCTGATAATCACGTTTTTCAGCATTTGATATTTTGTGCTTTAATTTATGAGTAGTGTTGTTATTTTGTGTAGATGTTTTCTTCGTTTCGCTTGACATCTTATGAACAGAGAGCACAACAACAACGTCCAAATAAAGAAAAACAACGTCGGAGTAACCGCGCTAATAACCATATTTTAGACAGTTTGTGGACTAGCAGCTAGGCGCGTTTGATTTCATAGCCCGTTTGCCCGCGCGTTCTTTGTGTGGCTGGCATTTTAAAGTGTTTCCTAAACTGAACCGGCTTCTTCGTTTTTCTCCCTCGTACATGGCCAGTATGTAGGGGTGTATATAAATATGCATGTTGTTTTCAAATTCCATCATTCTATAATATGGAACATGTCTAAAATAATAATTAAGCTTCGCAAATCGCTTTGTATTTTATTCGTAATTAATATCGCTTCTATATGCACATACACATACACACACCGCATACGAGTTCGTAGATTCGTGTGGAGGTAGCTATGTGTGTGCACGCTCTAAGATTGTTAATTTCATTTTATTTGGCGATTCTAAATCTGGAAACGCCAAATTGCCAAAGTCGACCGTTTATTCGGTCGAGAACATGTTCATTATACTCCCAGCCAAAGGGCTAGAGAGGAGGGTATATATCATTTGATACGGCCAAAACGTACCTAGTCGAAATAACGGTTTTAGACCCTAGGTCTCTTTGGACCAAATACGTTTCAGGACATTTGGAGTCGATTTAGCGATGTCCGTCCGTCCGTCAGTCTGTCTGGTTGGATGGCTGGTGCGCACGTTAACTCTCGAACATCAGACTAAGGTCAGTAACGAAATGGACAATATTGTTCTACTGCATCGGTAGCTCTCTTATCGAGGGTCAAAATATATTTGAATAAACGGATAAAGGCTGAGGGTATCAATATGTCGACAAAACCGTCTGATACTCTTTAACTTGTTTTAATTGATATCCGATATCTGGCAGTGAAATATTCTGGCACCTAATCCAAACAGGATGATGAAGTGTGTCGTCGCTGTAGTGGGTCAGTTAGTCGACTCCGTCTACCACAGCCCTGTTTCTCTACGTGCAGAACGTTGGCCGCGGAGAAATGATAAACAAAAAGTAATAATAAACAAACAATACACAAAGACGCATATTCTTGGCTAAACATTTCGACCGCAAATAAACACATCAGCCTCCTGTCGACACCCACTCCCCTGGTCACAGGGCTCTTGACAATGCCGTATGCAATACATACGGTTGGGGACAATTTTGGCTCTCGTCGCGATCGTTGCATGCCGTGCCGAAACGGGGCAGCAGCGGCAACTGCGAGTAAGGTGGGGCCGAGCAGCAAGTCGTGTGTTATGCAGTCTAGTCGTTTTTTCGTTTTCTGGCTAACAGAGTCCGAAATACACATTTGCGAACAAAAGGGACAATATTTGTGGCGTGTGTGTCTTCGTTGATGCGATTTCTATTCAGGTGGGAATTCTTGAAAAGCAGGACATGTCGAGAGCTGGTTGTAGGTACAGCTGAATTTGCACAGTCTCCCTCAATCACTTCCTACCGCAAAATGAAGCCAAGACCAAAATTACATTCATTATTTACGAACTCTTCAAATCTTATCAGTGCAGCATGAAGAAAACGGGTAGAATAAAAATACAATAAACCTTTACTGCCAAAGAGGCACTAAAAGAACTTTTGATAAGAAATCGAGAAAGACCCGGCCCGCCATGAATTAAAATATTTTTTTATTTACTGACTTTTTAGAACTCTGACGATATTTGAGGTGAAAAGTTGACGAAAATTCAACGCGGTGCTCAAGTTTTGGAAAGTCTTGCTGGTCAAAGACGCAGAGAAAAACAACAACAATTAAAAAACCGCAAAACAAAAGATCTCGGGAAAAGACCAATGATCGCCTGCATGCGCTTACGAAAGCAGCAAATGATTCCGACGCTTATCATTGTATAGGGAGCAGCGACAACTGGGTTGGCACACATATCACATCAAAATCATCAAAACAGTGAAAAAAGGAGGAAAGAGCCGAAAGTCGCTGGCAAATTGCACTACAACAGTTCGCTGAAAATGGATACACGCGAAGTGTTACTTCTACTGGTGTGTTTATCCTTGCAGAGTGACATACGTTCATCCTACACAGCAAGTAGGTCCCAAATGGTGTACGCAATGTCGACCGCTAACCAGGAACTGGAACGATATTTCCGATCAGTAAACACCACCCAAACTATGGCTGCCGAAGAACGCATAGCCGTAGACATCTACACATATGCCTTCCTCAACTACAGCTACGTAGATAGCCATGTCAAGTTCAGCGAGGAGAAAGCCCGCTACGGCGAAGGTAGGATCCTTAATGTGCACGGCAAGCTGGTGCATATCAGCGACGCTGAAGACATAAAAGACGACACTGCCTGCTCCAGCAATATTCTGGGCACCAATGGCCAGCCAACGCCAGCTGAGGGCATTTCGTGGATCGCCTTAGTCCGTCGCGGTCGTTGCACTTTCGAGGAGAAGGTGAAAAATGTCTACAACAAAAGGGCATCAGGGATCATCATTTACAACGACAAGCCCGTCATGAACTTGGAAAAGATGCAAATCAAGGACAAATCGCGTGAGTAGTATTCCGATCTGTTCTGTTCTCGTTGCACACGGTGCATGGGAAACTACGCATTTCGCAATGTCAATTAAATGTCAACCGTTTGTATTTTAGGTAATATAACCGCTGTGATAACTTATCAAGACATTGGCCAAGATATGGCCATGAGATTGGATCAGGGTCTGGATGTCACAGCTCACATTATTGAAGGCAGGAGCGGAATGAGACCCATAAACAGTCTCAACAGGTGAGTGATACATTTCAGACGCATTCTGGACAAATCTCAAAAGAAGGTGACTGGAGTTCCGTTGGGGGACCGCATGTTCCCAAAATTAGAAATATATTTACATGAAACGGCATGTCATCCACCAGACCACGCTGGTTGAATGTCCCATTTGGAACGATTGCGATTATAAATACAAAGCTAATGCGTCACAGGTCATTGAACTTGCTCGTATTCGACAATCACCATCAACAGGCCAGGCAGATGTTGCAGTTCTGTGCCGTTGATGAGAACAAATATATAAATGCTCATAAACATGCATTCCCACATTGCTGATATGAATGAAAACAAATTTTATTTTAAACAACAATTGCGATAAGGGAATTTTCGGACGTCTATCCCACTAGTCAATACTGGATGTACAGCCAGGGAGGGACGGAAGATTTGACACCGAAGATCATCACTGAATACAAAATTCGATAGCATTTAAGGCTGTCTAAAATTAGTAATTTGTCCGTGTATCCCACCAGTCAATATTGGATGTACGGCCAGAGAGGGACGGAAGATCTGACACCGAAGATCATCACTGAATACAAAATTCGATAGCATTTAAGGCTGTCTAAAATTAGTTAATGTCCATAATAATTGGTTATCGATCGCCGAGGGGGTTTTTACACACTATCCAAAAACCTACACCACTCCGGAGAAACGGATATTGTTATCGGCTTTGTGAAACCGGATGAGCTAAATAAATTCCGAGTCCTAAATACCGGACCGTTTTAAAATAATTTCTTCCGCACATTATTCTACTTGATCTCATGATAAAAAATCCATGGTAGTTAAAGTTATATATTGCAGCCACAGAAATTGAGATATGGTATTGGGTTTGATTGACTTTGGTTGAAACGAGCTACCGACATATTATTATGCACACAGAAAACTGCACACGAAAATGACTTTGATTAATGTCTGATTGTCGTCAATCAATGGCACTTAAATGCATTTGTATTTTCAGAACATCTGTCCTCTTCGTGGCGATATCCTTTATTATTCTCATGGTCATATCTCTGGTCTGGCTAATTTTTTATTATATACAAAAATTCAGATACATGCAGTCCAAAGATCAACAGTCCGTGAGTATTTATTAGACTGTATATGGAAAATGACATCTTGACCGATTTCTTCTGTTGTGCAGCGCCATCTTTGCTCCGTTACCAAGAAGGCCATTATGAAGATACCCACAAAGACTGGCAAGAGTACTGATGAAAAAGACGCCGAGTCAGACTGCTGTGCCATATGCATCGAGGCGTACAAAGCTTCGGATCTCATACGTGTCCTGCCCTGCAAGTATGCTGCGTGTATTTCACCTGTGTATTTAACAAACTTTTAATTTTCGTTGAACTATTTACTTTCAAGGCACGAATTCCACAAAAACTGCATTGATCCATGGCTAATAGAACATCGTACATGTCCAATGTGCAAACTAGACGTTCTCAAATTCTACGGTTATGTGGTGGGTGATGAAATTCATACGACACCCTCGGTACAACAATTGCCAGCTAACAATGCCACCCCCTTAGACGACACTGAAGTGCCGGTTGTAGTTCTAGGAGTAGTGCCCCGCCAAAGCAACAGCCTATCGCAGTCATCACAGCATTACTCAACCCACCAACATCACACCACATCTTCATCCGCATCCGCATCACCTCCGTCGCTGGCATCGTCGTTACCATCGGCGACAACAGTTCCACTTCCCCCCCTATCATCCTCATGTTTGCCCAATAGATTCAGTGCAAGTGTGGAGACCCAGACGACAGCGTCACTAGAACCGCACAGTAGTCACGAGTACGACCAGTCCTACTACCATCGGCAAGAGACAAGCGCCGCAATACCAGAAGCGGATGAAATCGATCATATAGCAAACTTTCAAGTGAGCACAGCCAGTCGCCAAGTGACCGATGTCTAACCCACCCAGCTGTGGAGCAGCAGAAACACTGAAGCGTCGGATGTCTGGGCCCATGCTAGTGCCAGAGCGCCATACGTATTTTTGTATTATTTGTAGTTGTCCCACTTCATTACAACAGCAACAACAACTTTATGTAAATAATTGTTCTTAATTTAATTGATTTTTCTTTTGTAGTTTAAACGCTTAAACTGATCCCAAAAATGAATACTTAAGAGTTCTAAGACTTGACATGAAAGTACTTATAAGTTTTATAGTTTTACGTTATTTTTAACTGATCCAACTGAAGACCAGAGAAAGCAAGAAAAAACTTTTGTACACCCTTCTCCCACCCCCTCCTCTAGTGCTAAGGCCATATTTTGTTAATCGCTTGGTTTAAGCTAGTGACGAGTATGACAATTTGTAGACTTTGTGCAAAAGCAGACGGTGACTTAAGGCTAGTCAAATTTTAAACAAACCTTCGAAATTGAATGTTGGAAGAAAACACTCAAAACCAACCTTGTATATAAACTTTAAACTAACACGATTTTAGGATAGATTCGAACATTGGTTAACAATTTTTCTATTACGACTAGTATTACAAATAAGCTAGTAATTATAACGATAAAGTCAATACTAAGTGAAAATCCCAAAATTAAATGTCAAAATTAAATGTTTTCAAAACCAAACTTGAATCAAAGTACCTTGCATTTATTTTATAACTTCAATGAATTTGGCATGGTAATGATGTCTCAATTTGAATGGATGTCGTTGCAATCCCGACAATTAGTACAGGAAACCCCATAATGCAATTCATTTTCAACTATAATTTAGATTCAGCGGATATACCATACCAATTAAAGTTCAGCGTATATTTATAAATTCACCCCCATTGTAACATTTTCCAATTGCAAACATTTACATTTTTTATTATTGACTTCTCTTTTCAACACACAAACAAAGAAAATGTTTTAGTTGTCAGAGTTGAAAATGTTCAACTTTTTAGGTAACTCTCATTTGAATAAATTTATTTTTCTTGTGTGGTGAAAAACGTCGACCGTCAATTCAGAAATTGTGTTTGTTATTTAGAAGTTATATTTGAAATTGAAATTTAAAATTTTTATTTAAAAAAATCCTGAAATTTGAAGCGTAAGTTCAGGAAAGTTTTAACTCGGTACTTATTTAGAAATTCTAAACATTTCAGGTAGGTCTGATTGATTAAATTAAAAAAAAACAAGTAAGCAAAGGCTACAGTCGAGCGGGGCCGACCGTTGAATACCCTACAACACTATAATAAACGATACAGTTTATACAGGCGAGATACTCGAAAGAATTCCACAAGATATTGTGACAAATAATAAAAGAAAACCATCAGGTTCCGTTCTCTAATTTTCGAATAATAGCAACTTAAACTAATTTGATCATTTCCAATTTATTGGTAGATGTTGCACGTAAATGGTCTTCCTAGATCTGGAACCAATATTTCCCAAAGACCAATAATCCTTCAGACGTGGCAAAAGATTAACATTTATTATTATTTTTTGACTGAAACGCAACGAAATCAGCGTTAACGAAATATTCAGAAGTGCGTCTTTCCTGTATTTGTGAATTCTCCAAAAAGTCAACGGAATGGACATTTTCGTATTTTGTCTACAAAAGTTGGCAACTATTTCACACATTGAATATTTTTGGGATGGCCATCCAAAACTGCTTGGCTTATGCAATGTCCGGTAACCCCCATTCAAATGTGCGTGAGGATCGGGCAATAATTACGACCTGCTGACAATTTTGCAGTTTTTTGGTCCATTTCAACCCCTAAATATATGGCGATCATCTCCAAAAAGAGTAGGCTTCTATTCTGACCCTCATCTTATCCCCATGCAAAATTTCGTAAGGATCGGGCCATAAATGCGATCTGTATATGATATCCTGAAGTCCTAACTACTTAGTTTTGTTAGCTGTAGAAATATTACCAAATGTTTAATTCAAAATGAAAATATGCCAAAAATATGACAAAATTGAAAAAATATGAGACAATTTTAAAAAATCAATATTTTCATCTTCATAGAGATATTTTTATGCGATTTTTTTAGACGTTTTTTCTTTCCTGCCAAGAGGCCATTCTGAATTAATGAGAACTGTCGAAATCAGTTCAGCCGTTCTCGACATATAAGAGATTTTTCAAGCATATCTTCTTTGATAAACATATATGTCGCACATATTTTGCTATATATCCGATTTGTTGGATGTTAACATCAATGTAAAGGTCAGAAGTAACCTTGTGATGGCTTTGTGACTTCGCCGGGATTTAAAATATTCACGGTTTAATGAAAAATTTTGAATTTTTTCAACACAAAAGATATGGTCTATTTTACCCGCTAAATATTATCCGATGACCACCCAAATTGGTAGGCTTCTTCCCTGTCCTAAACTCTAGCTACATGCCAAATTCCGCGTCGATTGGTCTATAATTGCGACCTGTATAGCTACTGCAAAATCCGACATTTTTTCAGTATTTGGTCCATTTCAACCCCTAAACATTTGGCGATCATCTCCAAAAGAAATAGGGTTCTATTCTGACCTCAACCCCACCTACATTCTAAATTTCGTGAAGATCGGGCCATAATTGCGAAATTAACATGGACAGACGGACAGACGGACGGACGGACATACATAGCTAGATCGACTCAGCTCGACGAGCTAGGAAGATCCATATATACTTTCCTATGTGGGAAACCAATATTTCGAGGTGTTACATAATTTTTGGCCCAATCAAACTTATAATACCCCCAACACATAGTGTTGTAGGGTATAAAAACAACACTGAAACTAGAGTTTTGTAAATTCAAGTTTACTAATTACAAATGCAACAAGTTTATTTGTTTATTTGATTCTATTCTCACAATATTTTAATTTAAGTTATCTTAATCGTGAAAAATGTATGGAACATCGCGGATTTTTCACACTTTCCAGTTGCTAATACGATTACAATTCTTTTTCCTCCCAAAACGCAAACAAAGCTTTAAATACGAATTAAATTTCAACAGCATTTGAAGATTTTCAAAATTATTTTGTTTATTTTTCAAAACAATACATACACATACAAAAACTGTATAAATGTTTTGACATTTTATTCAGCTGATTGCCAGGCTACTGTAAGGAAAAGAATACTTTTGTCAACGATTTGATAAAGTGTTTGCACCATTGTGATGTGACTCTCTCTGAATTTCAAATCACAATTGTGTTTTTGACTGCAATTGGTTGTCAGATGGGCATTCTGACCGACCTTTTGTACCGTGCTTCCTTTCATTTAGTATTCGTAATAACGCTTAATATTCAGATAAATTAATATACATTTTAGAACAACTTATTTACAAATTGAAAACTTCTGCAGTTGTCGACACTGACAGTTCCCACAATTTTCCGTAGTTCATGGTTCACATGTACGATAACAACTATAAGAAGGACATCGGGGTCTCTTTAAGTTGGATACATTTCCACAGCCATAGTACCAACGAGGTTACTTTTGCTAAACATATTAAATCTGTTTGCGTTCTTAAACACAATCTGATCCACCCATATAATGGCCTGTTTCAGTTTTTGCCACATGCAGACCACTAGTTTTGTTTGTTTTGCGGAATTATAACATCTTGTGGCCAGTAGACCTATTTAATAGAGAAAAGTTTTCGATAGATAATGTTGGAAATTCTTTTAGTTCACTCTAAGGTGACACATGTTCCTTCCCAATTTCCGTGTGACGTTAACTTTAATACGCACAGTGTTTAATTTATGACTGATGCCAAGCTGAAAGTGTTAAGATTGGAACTACATTGTCAACGACCTAATTGGTTAAATTGCAAAAATATGTTTCCAAATTCGTAAGATTTTTTTTTTAAATAATGCATTTTGAGTTAGAAATTAGAAACATAATAATTTTTTAAGTTGTAGAATACAAGAATAAATTACCTATCATTGTATTGTCGTCACATTTTGAACATACAAAAACCAAATGCACCCTTTGACGAAATAGCGACAGTCTTCTGAGAAAATATTTGAGGTCTGTACGTCGAATGAATATGAACGCAAACGAAACTCACCATTCCTATGTGTGTTTTCACAGATTTGACTTTTATTCAAGTAAAGAACAATTTAAAACACATAAAATTGGTGTTTTTTTAGTCAATCATATTTCGGCCTCTGCAACCAAACACTTCTTCAGTTAAACATCGAAGCTTTCATTCATTACTTTTTAGACAATGCATTTAATTTTAAGGTGCAGTAACTGTAGATTGAAATGTTGAAACATACACTTATACTCACTTTATTATTTAAAACAGAAGACACAAATGCTTCCTGTAGATTCTTGCTTCTGTGTACGCTACAAAAGGATATTTGGCAGAACCCTTAATATGCACATAAATCTTGAAACCTAACATTATCATTTGTGCGTTCCCTTAGTTTTTGGGCAGCGAGGAAAGCATTCTTGAATATGAACCAGATCCAATAGTGAATAACAACTCTAGCCTAAATGTTCCCGGCAACACGAACCAAAGGCAAAATGGGGCTTTGGCTGATTTAATCAGAAGCCGTGACTTTGTTATAGATTTCCCCAGAATATTCGTTTTAGAGGCTGGCAGCAGTACCGGCCGGAGAGATTCAATGTTAAACCAAGATCTGCCCGAAAGATCTCAGTCATCAATAGGGTTTCCTCAAGCCAAAGATTGGGTGTATTCTGTGGCCAACAAACTGGAGGAGCAGCATGGCTTGAGGAGAGCCCGCAAATCAAGCCAAAGAACAGAAATGCAAGAGGTTACTATCACCTTTCCATTTGAAATGCATATCCACTTGAATTGCTCGCATATCATTACAGAATCTGTTAATGGTGCGCTACGATTCGGTTCGAACTAGACGTTCTCGCTCGGCAGAAGGCCGCTATTTCTTGCGGCCGCAAGAAAGTGACAAGGTCACCGATTCCGAAGGAGCCTGTGGTGGCTGTGATGATATACCATCCCTGAGTACTAGCCGTCGCAATAGCAGCACTTCTACTATTATGGTACAACCTACCCCATCCCAACTAAAATCTGACCTACTCAATAGTCGCATCAAGTCGAGAATAAGTCGACGAGGAAGTGTCAACGTTGCAGACAGCATCAAACCACAGTCGACTTCTTTGCAGACAGGAAGCTGCCTGGACTCGCCATCAAACAACAATATCAAAATACAAATAAATGATGACGACAGTTCCACTATGGACCTGCAGTGAAAAACGGAGCTGTGGAAGGACGATGGAAAGATCTCGCGATGTATATTGAATTTGAAAATCGAAGAAATTGTGTGTTTATCAGTTGCAGTCTCTCATCTGAAGTTTGGCTGTTGAGTTTAGTCCTTATCAGCGTACATATTAAGAATATTAACCAATCCATACACGCCTATGTGCAATCAATAAATGAAGTATATGTTACCTGTTTTTAATTATGAAATTATTATGGTACTTATGTGTAATTTCTTCACTCCTCTCGCGTAAATATTTATGTTCCAAGGCGTGGATATTTAAGTTGCAACTATTGACAACGAGGCCAAGAAATCCTTAAATAAAATAAAAATGTCGATATTGATATTGAGTCCACTTCCATTTTTTCCTAGTGAAATTGGTTGCTGGAAAGTTTTCAAAATACCGTAAACTCGATGTTTTCTGGATGTGCCGAACGGCAATAGAAAAATGTGAACCTATATGTAGACAATGAATTGCCAAAGGAGGAGGTACTGTTCCGTTATAAAATTTGGCTAAAATCGTAAAAATACCGAATATGGGGACATGTTCCAACTTATCCTGCCCACTGACAATACAGGGTTGCCCATATTCGACGGACCCATCTGGCAACACCATAACTTTTGACAGAGATGTCACATCGCTTAATGACATACCGCGTTTAAAGCGCCAGTCCAAGCAGATCACCATGAACCAATACACGCCACGCGAACGCTCTGAAATAGTTAAAATTTACGTTCAACAGAAGAAGTCAATTGTGAAAACTCAACGTGCTTTTAAAATATTTAAAAATGTGAGAAGTGCGCCTTCTAAGAACACCATTATACGAAAAATTTTCGACTGGTAAGGCTCTTTCTAATCCGAAGAGGCCATATAAAAGTCGCCTTGGTCGATCAGCCGAGAATATCGCTGCCGTACGAGCCAGTGTTGAGAGGTCCCCAAGAACATCACAAAAACGCCGTTCTCAGCAGTTGGGCATGGCTCGGTCCACTTTACAACGGATTATTCGCATTGATTTGCATTTGTTCCCTGCTTACAAGCCTCGTCGATTGGAATGGGCCCAAAGAGTCATCGAAATGGCCGAAAAAAACATGGGTCCGTCGAATATGGGCAACCCTGTATACACATACATATATATATTCATGCCATTTCGAGGCGTAGGATATGCAACCGGACTCATATTAGAACGGAGATTCCAGGGTGGTGATTGGATATCGCATAAACGACCAATGAACTATCAAAATATTTCTGGAATTCAAACTTTAGAATGGGAAACAATTGGCAACCCTACTTTTCTTCAATCGTAAATATTTTACATTTTCGTTTTTGTACATTTCGTAAACCAATTCGCTTGAATGCCTTCCAAATGGCATTTTCTTCGTGTCGCATCTTAAATTCTTAGTTTTGGTCGTCCTATCTCTGACTCGTTCGTTCCCCCTAATTCTGCGTTTCGAACAAATTCTCTGATGTGTTCTCTTGATTTCCGTATTCTCTTCATATTCGCAGGCAAGTTTTCAGATTCTCTCACCCCTGGTTTGTGGCTGTACTATCAAATACAAATCTTTTAGTATTGGCAACACTTGCACACGGTTTGTCACAATTCTTTAGAGTTTGTGCCAACTTGTTTTGGGGGTGAAAACGGTATATTAACAGCAGATTAAAAAGCATAGGTGAACGGCTTGAGTGAATTTTCGCACAAGTTGTTAAAAGTGTCCTACCCTATTTGGTATTGGCGTTTTTGATAACCGTTTATTTCATTTTAGTAAAAAACTTTGGTCATATACATATGTAAAATCCTAACTAGATTTAACGATGTTCGATCCCGACACTGCCCACATTATGTGCTTCAAAATTTGGCACAACATTTATGTCTAGGATGGATTGATGTATCGCTCCACGTTTTCGTATAACGGTACCTCCCGACATTCGGTATTTTCTTGATTTTGCCCCATTTTTGTCTAAACATTGGGATTTGTTGTTCATAATGGGGTCTAGCTCCGGCGGTAGAACATCGAATATCTAGGTACCTACGATTTTTTTTTCAAATTTGGTATTTATGACTCGCATAAGATAACAATCCTTGTGGTATAAAACTGTCTATAGAGGTACCCGTTATGGTATGACCCCACTTCATGGTTCTTTGAAAAGATTAACTGTATTATCCAACAGTCTTACTGGTATTTGTTTTTGAAAGGAGAACACGTTTGAATCGTAATGTTGTTTTACTTGTTATTGGTAAAAGAGGTAATTGCCAAAATCTCAAAGGAATCGGCACTCCTTCACAATAAACATTTCAGCCAATCGGAGGATACCAATCATGCTGTTACCACTTTTTCTTGAAAAGTCTTTAAGGATAATGTCATTCCGTCCTACTTTTGCCGGGTTTCTCATTTATTTGGTGGGAACTTTCTTGCCGTTAAAGGAAACATAAGTAAATAATGTGTTTAACAGGTTTTTACGAACGCCAGATATAACGAAAATTCTAATCCAAACGACCGCGATTATACGAACAAATCGCGACAATAATAATGTAGTTGTAATCTCCGATTAGGACGAATTACGATTATAAGAACAAATAAATGTTGTATTGCTTCATTCACCGCCACTTGTGTGGACCAACATGAAATGAAATGTTGCATAATCATATCAGAAAGTGATGAGCCATGTCTCGATAGTCTCACGAATTCCGGCGTTGAGGTATTGATCCGACGCAGATCGTTTGACGTAGATCCTCTTCCACGAGGCCCCAAGGGAGGACGTGGCAATGGGTTAAATCGAAAGATCTCGGCAATTGTGATCACCTCTTCGAGAGATAAAACGGTACGGAAACTTTCCATAAAAGAGCAATGGAATTGATACCTTTACATTCTTATATATACTTTTTTTTAAATGCTCATAAGAAAGTTTTAGAAGAACCTGTGTATTCAATAGAAGTTTTTTTTTCGATTTCGAATATCGGTTGAACTGCCGATGGCATTGGTTAAATTAAATAAATAACAATGAAAGTTGCATAACAGGTGTGTTTAGAGCATTCCTGGCCAGGTATACTTCAATTTAATATATAGAGCTCAGTAACAGTGTGGCATAGTTCAACAGAACGAGGAGCAAAAGGCCGGATGAAAATATCTGATACCATTTTTCAGTTCCTAGTCTGCTTCGGAAGCAGAATAAATGTACCAATTCTATGCAATTCACGTTGAAAATTGATATGCGATCGCTGAAGTTCCAATTTAAGGCTGAATGCTGATAAATTTGGGCGGTGGAATTGGAAATGAGCCCTTAAATGTTCCTCCTAGGAACACCCGAAATTATCCCATGCTAGGTATGATTTTCCATGTACCGACGGCTAATACTTACATTCATACATCGTAACTAAGTTTGTCGATCTTTTTAAATATCCCGGTTGGACTCTCCTTTCGGCATGGGATGCGGCCCTCGTTGGGCTGTTGGGCATGGGCGACGACAAGCAAATACATCCAAAATAAAAGCAATCAAAAAAGTAATAATGACAATAATAATAGTTTGAACATAGCGAATACCACAACTTTTCAAATCTCTGAAGCTTCATACAGATTTGGATTGAAATCGGGATGCGACAATGGCAGCAAGATGCGAGTAAAAGGGAACGAGGTATTTACTGTCAAGTAATTGTGGGAAATCGATTCGAATACATTCAATATATGTATGAGTATGGGTGTGTTGTTTGTATGGCCGGTAGGACTATTAATGGACTGTCGGGCCAATGAAGAAAAACTCGCTTATTATCAGAAGATAAATGTCATCTTAGGAGATTGCAGTACGTTAGATTAGGAATCCAATTCTTTGACGGCACATGTCATACTTGAAAGGCATACACTCTCCTTCATTCTCAAATTTGAGAATCAATGGTCAGAGAATGGGGCAATTTTGGCGTGACATTTCATTGACACATGCCTGCGGCCTAGTTGTGTTAATGTGGGACTAGAATGCCTAGCCATCTTCGGGTCCAACTCCAGCCCGGCCAGGCCAGGTTCGTATCAACTAGGCACTACCTCAAATGCCAATAGTTTGTGCAAAGATGTGCGTTTGTTCGTTTGTGTGTAAAATGTGTCAATCTTAGGAAATGACACTGATTAAATTTAAACTCCGTAACGAAATCAAATTGGGATGAGGAAGAACAAGAAGAGAGATAAAGGAGATAGATGAGCAATTGTTTGCTGTGAATTTACAAAAAGAAATGTGCCGTGCCGCCTAACACCGCAACAAATTCGGAAACAGCGAAGAGAACGAAGAGCAAAACAGAGGCCAAGTCTCGTTTGCCAAGCGTAAATGCTGCCGCTAATGCTGCGCCCAAACGGCAGCCACCACCAGCTGGACACACCGATGCTAATCTCTTGTAAATGGTTGCACAATACCAGAATGATCACCACACAAGGACAATAGACAGATCATGTGCCACAACCCAGGAGTATACATATGTGAATGGCTGTGTGTTTGCCAAGCATATGCTGCCGATCGTCATGATCACTTTCATTTCGAACCAAACTAAGCGTTGTCTTCAGATCTCGGCTCACACGGACGTAACTAATTGCCAAAACAATGAAGAGGATCTCTCATCTCATTATCGAAATCAAAAGTGTGAAGTTTAGTTCAAGCCACCAACAAAGTCCTCCAAACACATGGCATGATCGTCATCAGCGGGGAAAGGTCCTTTGACCCGCTAAGTGTCCTGTTAAATGTGGGTGAATCCATAAAATGTGTTTAATAAAATAATTGTCGTAGCAAAACTAAAACGTACGTTAGTGGTTATTTCTTCCAGTGGTGGAGGGAGAGGCTTCACTCTTCCTCTCCATCTGATTGTCACTTTGTCACCCCGTAAATAGGGGAAATGGTTATAAAAATGTGTGCAACATCGAAATGTAGGACAATAATATGTCTGCAACAAAAAGATGGCGATTCGTCAGACTTCCCTGTGTGTGCGTGTGTGTCTGTGTGATGTTTCTTCTCACTGTGAGAAACCCGATCCTCTGACACTTCTGTTTTATTACAGCCTCACTCTCGTATTCCACACAGACCACAACCCCATTCTTGCTCATGTCACACATATGTGGTTACGTGGATGGCCAATGATTGTGCAGACGGATATGGAGTTTTCTCTTGCTTTCGGATTTAGTTCCATGGCACAGAAAGACACTTCATTGCCCTCCATTGACTCGTATCCATATCATTATGCGCCGGAACCACTTAAGTCTTAAATGTTGCTATGACAATCACATAGTTCCATGCAATAGAAAAGCCGAATTGTTTATAGGCTGGATAAAATGGAATTATTTATTAGAATTAGTAAATCAGGACGAATTTGATTAAGTGGGATACGCATGTCCTTTTTAGACACGTAACAATGAATGATGACATCAATAATAACAAGGACTACCAAGTTCAAGTTTTATAATTTCCCCCAAATTCCAGATTCTGCTCCAAATCAAGCCTCTCTTTTTCTTTATCCAACTTAAGTTACAAGTTTTAGATCGTAAAACCCTCTGCAAAAATGATCATTTAGTGCGAGAATCGCGAATCGAACTAGTTAACGGCAGAATTAACCACATCTATCATTTATTATATATTTTGTTATACCTATTATACATTTACCTCTACTTTAGACACAAGCGGCGGCAATTTTTCATTTTGCTATTTAAGTTTTCGGATCTCGAAAGTTGTCCTGCAAAAGCATGGTTGCGTGAAATTGTATAGTTTCCTCATGCGTCATTTAAACAGTGCGTTGCCAAATTAAAAACTTACTTCAAGTATTTTTA